ACGACTCGACAGCACATAACAACAACAAACAATATTTTTTTAAACTAAAATACTACAAGGTAGGTCTTAGACTTAAAATTTGGTATATATGGTAATTTTTTTTTTCCAATGTCCTTTGGTCTTGAATAATTTTCCCTTTTAGTTGTAATTTTGTGCTTGTCTTTGGTAGACAACAGTTTGACAGTGTATAGTCACAGGGAACTCTGTTGTTTGCTTCTTAAAATTCTTTTTTTTTTTTTGCTTCTTAAAATTCTTAATCTTTATTGTCCTTTAAGGTGTTAATTCATACTCTCTTCCCCAGGTAGTAAAATTACGGGTGATTGTTAAAATGACAAAAAGCAACTTTCCATATTATAGAAGTATATCTATTTATAATATAGTATTATATAAACTTAAGTCTGGCATTTTGCAAATCGCATGATCTTTTTATTAAGATGTTTTATCCACTATATTGAAACTTTTTAAAGATTGTAACTTAAATGCTATTGAAAGTAAAGTGAATGTATGAATAACTCACTTTTATGAGGGGAACTTTGGTCGTATAGCATTTAAATTTAAAGCATTTGACTGCTGACTGAAAGGCCATCTGTGGGAGAGACATAGCAGTCTGTTTCCATAAAGACTTAAAACGGCCTTAGAAAACCCTAGCCTTTTGACTTTGGCCTGTATGGTTACTGCAAGATGAAATCTACACCAAGGCAGTGGATGTGACATTTGATTTTTTCTTTACTAATACACTTGGTTTGAAGCATGTTCAGTGACTAAATTGATCCATAACATAATGGTACAATTCTACTTTAAAGCAAAACCAATTGGAAAGAAGTCCCTAGAAGTCAAAAAGCCTGGCATTGTGAAAAACAAAGACTCTACTAAACCTTTGATGGAACCAGGTAAGTCTAAAATAATAGTCATTCAGTGAGGATTCACGCCCCCCTTAAAGCCTTTTGGCCTTGTGGTTTACAGTTCAGACATCATCTTTTAAATTATTAGAAAATCCCCAAAGAGATAGTTCTGTTTTTCAGAGAGAAGCTTGAATGACTTTGACTTAAATAAGGTCAGCCTAAAGATGACTTGTTCAGATCATTATTCTTGGACTTCTCCCATTGACTAACAAAGACTATTTCTTGCAGAAAATTCTGATGTTAAGACCAATGTGGAAGACAAAGCTGCTGAAAATAGTATTAAAGAAACAGTTACAGGTAAGGAAATAAAAATTTACTTTTTTCTTAATGTATTTATCAGTAGAAAGAAAATGGTAATGATGATAAAGTAAAAGTCTTAATTTCATGTTACTCTTGTATATGTGTATTCACCCATGCGTACATTACAATATTAGGATTATGCTTAAGTGGAATATCTACATGAAATGTTATGTTCCTTTGTCTCTTTAAGCAGCTGCTTCAAAGAAAACTGAAAAGCACGGACCAGTCAGCAAGGTGAGCTTTTCTAAGGATTAAAAGATACACAACATGATGATATTTATTACTAAAAGGACAGTTCTTTTTTGTTTAAAGAACATGTATAATACATAGCATGAAGGGGGAAATTAGTTTATGACTTTACTAATACGGTTTCAGGTAAAAAACTTTGAATGACAGAGTAAGTCATTAAAAACTGTAATTTTAACTGAGAGTAGCACATTGTAACAAAATGGTTTTTTAGTAGATACCAGGTTGTGAAAATCAGTAAAATTCTGCTTTTTCTCAAGATAAATGCAAGATATTTTAGTGTTTAGAGTACTAATTATTTTTTAGCATAGAAAGGGCTTTGTGGTTATGTTTGAATAGCATGAAGTTTACTGTTTGTTTACATTTCGATATAGCTGTCATATTAACATCTCATTAAATTGTACTTAGATTTTTAGTTCATTCAGTTGCTAAAAATAAAGGTTTTTTGTTAGTAGATCTATTCTCGAAGCAATTACTAAGTAATATGCCTTAACTATATTGACTGTTGTTGTAGTTTAAGAGGAATATTTGAAGCTCCAGTAATGTATATTAGTCATTTCAAACATTTGTCTTCTAAAAACTTTGAGAAAGAAATTGGAAAACTAATTATTCCATGTATTTTTTAAAATGAACATTTTATTAAAGGTTTTAAATTCGATGTTTTTGTCCAGCCAGCCCCGTAATTGATCAAGGTTTACCCAGTGTAGATGCATTTATAGGTGCTAATCTCACTTATTACTTACAGTATGACTTTAAATAAAAACCAAAATTTTAATGGAAATTTCACTTACTGCTTGTTTTGAAGGAAACAGAGGGAATGTGTGTGGTCCTGGTGGGTAATTTGCCTACTAAAGGTTATTCTGTGGAAGACATTTGTAACCTAGCCAAACCATTTGGTGGTTTGAATGATATTTTACTTTTATCATCCCACAACAAGGTAAGAATTTGTAGTAGTTCATAGTATCTATAAGTACATTGAAAAAAAAAGTTACTAAATTCACAAGACTACAAATAAAAATCTTTTTTTTTTTTTACAAATAAAAATCTTAAGCTGAACACCAAAATAATGAAACTGAGGATGAAGTTAACAAAGGACAAATGTAGACATATCTTGATATTAGTTGCCACGTAAGCATCCTTCCTGAGAAATATTTTTTCCTGGTTTAATAAAAAATAGTACATACTGGGTTTGGTTTGTTTTGTTCGTTAGCTTCATTTGGTTTTTAGTCATTTTCAAATTAATGGTTTGATCAGATAACATTTTCATGGTGGGTGAAATTAATTAGAACATAATGGTTTTTCCGCAGAATTTTTTTATAAAAAATATTTTATATTTTCAATATGGTGAATGCAGTCCTTAAGATTTGCCTTTTAAAAAATTTTAGAGTGCTGTTTAATAAGTATTTTTAACCATTCTGACACTCAAATTATGCCAACAAACATAGAATAACTTGAGGTTTTCTACATGTTCTAAATATTCTATAGTAAATAACTTTTGCTTTTACAATTTCAAAAACCACACAAAATTTCTTTTTATTAAAATTACCTTGCAAGTGCAGTAATTTGAGGAATGCACTTATTTAATGAAACAACATCATTAGAGTGGCAATTAGGAGAGATCTTTAAGAGTAGAATAAATATATATTTGATGGTAAATGTAGTTTCTCAGTGTTAACCACAATTTGTTATGATCCACACAGTCATATAATATGACAAAAAAAGTATATATCTATACTGTTATTTGTAAAAAGTTGTGGCTAACATAGAAAAGAGCAGGAATCCCAGGATACTTAATTATGCTATGTGAAACCTAAACCGTGCAAACTTATTCAAACAGAGTAAAGGAACACTGTGATTTCAAATCAAGATTGGTGTATGACAGGGTTATATCCTTTTTCTTTACCTTTTAATATCTGTGCTGAACAAATCAGGAAGCTGGACTTTATGAAGAAGAATGTGACATCAAGATCAGAGGGAAAACTTAGTTGCAGCCTGCATTATGCAGATGACATAAGTTTGCTTCCTGAAAGTGAGGAGGACTTGAAGCACTTGCTGTAGAAGATCAAGGACTACAGCCTTCAGTATGGACTAGATCTTGACATCAAGGGAAAAAAAATCCTAATCATGGGACCGATAGGCAACATCATGATGGAGAAATGATTGAAATTGTTAGTGATTTCCTCTTACTGGATCCATAATCAACAACGTTGGTACCAGCAGGCAAGAAATCAAAAGATAAACTACACTGGGAAAGTCCACAAAGACCTCGTCCTAGTAACCAAGAGCAAAGGATGTCAGTTTAAAGACTAAACCATGATCTTTTTTCAGTTTTTATGCATCTGATTGTTGAGTGGAGAATAAATGACAGAAGAGGAGTCATTAGCTTTTGAGTTGTGGTGCTGGAGAAGGGCACGACATATGGGCCAAGAGAACAAAACAAATTCTCTTGGAAAGTCCGGCCAGAATGCTCTGTGGAGGCAAGGATGGTAAATCTTACCTCACATACTTGTGCATGTTTTCAGGAAGTGCCAGTCCTTGGAAAATGATGACTTGCTAAGAAAGGTGGAGGATCAGAGGAGGACTTTCAACAAGATGAACAGGCACAGTGACTAACTGTGAGCTGTCCTGTGACACATAATGAGGATGGCACAGCATAGGGCAGAGTGTAGATTGATGTTCATGGCGTCACTAAGAATTGTAGTTGACGCAGCAGCACCTAATAACAAGTACAACTGTTTTACTTGATAGAATAATCTCAGCATGATCACGTACGTTGTCATATGTCAAAATTAGATGCCACTCATTGACGTACTTTAAGCAGGTAACTTTGGTATGGAAATTCCATCTCAATAAAACTTCTATAAAACGTAAATTATAGTATGTGGAGAGATAATATAGAATTAATTTCATCTTAAATATTTTTAAGTTATTTGCTTTCAAAAAAGAGATTCTTCCTTTTTAAAAATTTTTACAATTTCTGTTTTTAAAGGCATTCATAGAAATAAGTAAAAAATCTGGAGATTCTATGGTGAAATTTTACAATTGCTTTCCAATATCATTGGATGGAAATCAGCTCTCATTGAGTATGGCTCCTGACAACGTGGCTATAAAAGATGAGGTACATTTTGCCATTTTTCCTAGAATATCCTTAAATGCCGTTCCAGGTTTATTGAGGTTCATTATCTTTTCTAGTTTTATTTTTTAATCTTAATGGTATAAATCACCTTTTATAATTTTCTTAGCTATTTTCCTAATCTTGCGATTTATTTCATAAAACCTTTTTATCTGATTTTCCAAGCTTTCCAGCACTGGATCTAGCTGAAGTTTTGTCTTGATCCAAGATACTTGGTATCTAGTAATAAGAGCAATCTGTCAGTGGAAGGTCTAGGGAGTAGAGAGCCTGGGTTCAGATTTTCTTGCCGGTTTTGTGGTCTGAGGTAATGTGGTTCTGTTCTGTTCTTCATCCATAAACTTTGAAGTACTTGCTTCATAGAATATTTTTGACATTTGAAAGAATTGACTCTCCACAAAGCATCTATGTTTAGTTAGTGTTGGCTTTAATTTTTCTTTTCTTCCTTTGTTGCCAGGTAATTTTTAAATCATCTAGAAGTACTTTCTGAGTCTGAAAGGTTTTCCAGACCCTACCATCCTACTGTTTGAGAGTTACTGCCATAGTGTAGGAAACATTTTAATCATATCTTTTGGAATGGAGAAAAACTGTTAAAAATTATGTTGTCTACAGCTGACTACTCCTTTGTATGTTCTGCATCTACCCACTTTCTATCATCCAATCTCAGAACCTGAAGATTAACTTTTTCTCAAATTTATTTAGTCACCAAGACTCATTTCTCTTAACTAGTAAATATTTCTGGGATTTGTTCTCTTGTCATCATTTTATATACATCATTGTTAAATCTTAAAATAGGTTTTCACACAGAAAGAAACAAGTCTTTACCAGGGCTGGGAGAGTAACCCAGGGCAAGTCAGTGGCTAGTGTGTAGGTATATATTAACTCCAGTGGAGGAAAAAGCAATGTTCAGTGAAGATATCATCAGCACAAAGTGATCTGTTAAAGGAAGACTCTGGGAGGAACACAAGATTTAAAGGCAAGGGGCCCTTTAGAGTAATGAGAGAAGATCTTCACCCTGAAACCCACAGCGTCCCTTTTCAGCAGGAAGTAGCTAAGAGAATACGCCGTCCCCTTTTCCTTATGACTCAGGGTGAAGTCTCTCTCAGGGAGGAGTGATAGGGAATGGCAAAGGATACACTGACAAAGAAGATTAATCAGAACTGGCTTTGACAAGCACTGTGGCATTTGGACAAGAACAAACTGGGAGGAGGGTAGAGAGAATAGTGCAACAATGAATGAGTGGAAGCCCAAAATCTCTGTAAATGTTTATGTTTATGAAAATTAATAAAATATAATTAAAAAAAAATTGATACTGTTAACATGCAATTTCACAATGATAATAAAGTGAGTCAAAAATTAAATTGCCATTGAGACTAACCAGCTAAGCCTTTTCTTAAAGATTAACATTTGATATATTTGATATGATTGTGTTATACTTAGTCCTACTGTCAAAGAATTGATGGCTTAGGATTGTGATCTTGGCAGAAAGAACAGATAAATCTAGGTGGAATGAGATGCAACCAGGGTGCTCCTTAGAGGCAAGTATGGTGAAACTTCATCTAACATACTTAGATTATTTTTCCAGGCGAGGCCAGTCCTTGGAAAAGATAATCATTTTTTAAAAAGTGGAGAGAGGTCATTGAAAAAAAGACTCCAGTGAGATGGATTGAAACAGTGACCGTCACAGTGGGCTTAATATAGCAGGAATTGTTAGAATGACCTGGGTTCAGATGAGGTTTCGATCTCTCACAGGATCCCTGTCAGTCAGAGACTTTTCTATGATACTAACATGTTGAAATAAATAGAAGTTTAAGACCCTTACTCTTGGTTTCCACATTCCTATCCTGTACGTGTCAGTCTTCACATAAACTAGCCTCCTCTGCCTTTAGTCACTATATGGCTTGTCCCTCTTGACTTTAGAATTCACTAGTTCTGGGTCACTGTATACTTATGTACTTCTAGTAGCTTGAATCTTTGTTCTTCCCAACCCTTATTTTGCTTAGCTCTGTTAGTTTTATCATATATCAAGATCGTGTTACTGTCTTCTCATTTTATTTTTTTTTATTTTATTTTATTTTTTTATTTTTGTGTGCGTGTACCGTCAAATCAGATCTGACTGGTACAGGAGGAGATTGTCCCTTCTTCCCTGGCAGAGCATCTGGTGGATTCGAACCGTACACCTCTGGGATTGTAGTTGCAGCTCCTTACCACTAGGCCACCAGAGCTCCCCTGTCTTCTCATTTTAATGTTACTCCTTTTTATGAATTTACATGTTTTCTAAGTGATGCTTGTCCCAATTATTTTAATCCATTTGAAGCAATGCCAGGAATTATGGGAGGGATGGCACGTGTAGGTTGAGACTTCTACAGAATTTGAAGGCTTTCCCCATTTTCTGAAGTTTTGGTAAATGCAAATTTGTAGAGGTTATAACCCTTTCCTCCTTTCATCTTTTCAGGAAGCTATTTTTATGACCTTGATTAAAGAAAGTGACCCAGAGGTGAGCTTTCCATTTAAATGCTTTTTGTTTCTTTGCTTAATTACAGAAACACTGGTTTTGTTTCTTCACTTTGTAAAAAAATCAAAGATAATTTTAGTACTAATTTGAAGATAATGGGGATACAGAAATGCCAAATGGGGCTTCTTAGTAAGAAATCATGGATTAAGATAGTCCCTAATAAGAAATTTTCTTTTCCCAGTCAAACTGAAGTATATATAAAGTGGCAAAGTAGATCAGTACTATGTAGAAGATGTGTTAGGTAGATTTATTGATAGAAGAAAGATTATGCCTACTATTTTTTATGCCTACTATTTTTAATACATTGTTTTACTGATCACACAAACCTAAGTCTTCACTAGCTCAGTCATTCTTTTTACTCTTGAATATCTGACCCCTGAAATGTTGAATTATTGTTACTGTTTTAGTGTAATACTATAATACTATTTCTTTTTTTGTGTTTTGTTTAATAAAAACCACTATAGGCTAGCATAGAGAAAAACTATAATCGATTTGTACACTTTGATAACTTGCCTGAAGATGGACTTCAATGTGTACTTTGTATTGGACTTCAGTTTGGAAAAGTGGTTCATCACATATTCATGAATAATAAAAACAAGGTAACAGAAATCAACTTTCTGGGAAAAAAAAACACAATTTATTCTTAATGGTCTGTAACTTTTAATTCTGCTTCTGAACCAGTGCATTTTAAACACTCTGACATGAAGGAGGAGATCGTCTCTGTCACCTTAGAATTTCGGTTTTTAAGGGATTTAACTCTGGGACAAAGATAATTTAGTACAAAGAACATTCTCTACCTGGGAAGCTGAGACCTTAAATTCAGGTTATCTTTGTAATTTGAGCCCGTTAGTTTTTACTTTGCCATCTTGTTTATAAAATGTGATGTTGCAAGGTGTTTTCTACAGTTCCTTCAGTGATAAAGCACACAGCATTGTTTGTTTAGATATTCTGGGATAAAGAATAAAGAAAATAACCATCTCTTACTTTCATGATTTAGTTCATTACTTCTAACAACCTAAAAAATACTAATATTTTTACATTGGCTCTACCTTCTATATTCCGTATTTATTTCAGATACATGTCTATTAAGTTAGATATTGAGGAGCTGTATGATAAAAATCAGGGATTTTTTTTTTTTAGGGATTCATTTTTAACTTGAAAATGTTAAGTGCTGTTGAGTCCATTTCAGCTCATTCCATCTATTTCATGTATGTTAGAGTAAAACTGTGCCTCTGAGTGATTGTGGATCTATTGTCAATAAAAATTTATAGAGACTTTGGATTTCCATTCATTCATTGTTGCATTTTTCTCCCCTTCCGACCCTCCCCTCCAGTACACTCCTCTCTTGGAAAAGAAAAAGAAAAATTATTTCATTGTTTTATAGTCCCTCCCTCCAGGTCAATTCCACTAGTCAGCCTTCGCTCTGGATTCCTGTCATGACAAAAATACCTAATCACATACCCCTTGTTAAAAGAGTTTTCTCCGTCATCTGACTCAATGCCATATACATTATGTAACCCATCTTTCTCAGTCTTCCCCCAACCCCGATGTCAGTCTTATTTTACAACAGTGGCAGCATATGCAGTATTTGTCCTTTGTGACTGAGATATTTCACTCAGCATAATGTCCTCCACGGCCACCCATTTTGAATAATATTGCATGAGTTCCTTGTTCTTCAGTGCAGTGTAGTGTTCCGTTGTGTGACTGTACCACAACTTCTCTGTTCATTCATTTATTGAGGGGCACTTAGGTTGTTTCCAACTCTTTGCTATTGTGAACAAAGCCACAATAAACATGGGTGTGCCTATATCTGCTTGGGTGTCAGTTGTGGTCTCTTAGGGATATATCCCTTATAGTGGAATTGCTGGGTCAAATGGAAAGTGCCATACTGCCTTCCACAGTGGTTGCACCATTTTACACTTCCAACAGTGAGTAAGGGTTCCAGTTTCTCCACAACCTCTCCAGCATTTGTTGCTTGCTGTTCTGTTAAATTTTGCTATTCTGACTGGGGTGAGATGATATCTCAAGAGTTGTTTGTTTTGTTTTTTTTTAAATTTTATTTTATTATTATTTTGTGTGTCTGTGTACCGTCAAATCGGATCTGACTGGTACAGGAGGAGATTGTCCCTCCTTTCCCGGCAGAGCATCTGGTGGATTTGAACCATGCACCTCTGGGATTGCAGTGCAGCTTCTTGCCACTAGGCCACCAGAGCTCCCCTTCAAGAGTTGTTTTGATTTGCATTTCTCTTAGAGTTAAGGATTTTGAACATTTCTTCATGTGTTTGTTAATGTGAATGTCATCTTCGGTGAAGTGTCTGTTCATATCCTGTGCCCATTTTTCAGTTGGATTATTTTCCTTTATCATATTCTGGTGCTCAAGGAAAGTCCCTTATCTGACATGTCATTACCAAATACTTGTCCCAAGTCTGTGGCTTCCCTTTTTACCCTGTTGGAAAAGTTTTTGGATGTGCATAGGGATTTGATTCTTAGAAGGTCGCATGCATCTGTTGTATCTTCTCCTGGTTATAGGTTTTTCAGGATACTGTCAGGAAGATTGTTTATGTTGTGGATTAAGACTTTTAAGCATTCTTCCAAGCTTTTCTTTAATAAAGTTTATAGTCCTTGGTTTTTATCATAGGTCCATGATCCACCTTGAGTTGCTTTTTGTATATGGAGTGAGATGGATCTTGCTTGAGTCTTTTGCAGATAGTTTTCCAATTTTGCCAACACTATTTGTTAAAAAGGCTGTCGTTTTCCCACTTAATTGATTTCATCTCCTTGTCAAAAATCAGTTGACCCTGGATAGATGGGTTGATTCCAGGTTCTCAATTCTATTCCGTTGATCCATGTGTCTGTCATTGTACCTGTACCATGCTGTCTTAACCATCACAGTAGTGTAGTAGGATTTTAAAACAGGGTGTGAGATACCTTCTACCTTTCTTCTATTTTTAAGGAGTGCTTTGCTTATTCGGGGCTTCTTTCCATTCCAGATGCAACTGGAGATTGCCTTTTCCATTTCGTTGAAGAGTTATTGTGGATCTTGTAGTTAGCAGCCAAGCATGTTAATCATTATGCTAGGACTTCTGACAGTATATACTCTGTAAGAAACATCTAACTGATGAGTAAATACTAATCTTATTAATGAACTCAGGTGTACCAGTGGTTAGGAATTGCCAAGGTACACAATTTGAATCCACCAAGCCGCTCCATAGGAGAAAGATGGGCAGTCTCCTTCCATGCCTTTGAAAACCAGATGAAGGGTCAGCTTCTGAAAAAACCTTATGGAAGGTCCGTCTACAACAACACCTCTATTGATACATATAGCATGTTTGATTACTTTAGAACAAGTGTGATTTGGGATGACTTAATAGGAATTCTGAGCCTTTGTTCTAGACATGCTAAATCTTTTTTTCAAGACAGCTTTGGTAATGTAGACCTTAGTGATCTCAAAGGCTGCATTTCTCTAGAGATTAAAATCAACCAGCAGCCACTTGAGAGTGCTGTGCAGTGTATTCCCATACAATATACAGTCTCAGAAACTCTGTGAAGGATCAAGGATGATTCAGTTCTTACTTGATGGCAGTAAGTCTGTAATGTACCTACTATGTTCACCTACCTTGCTGTGTTTTAAATACCTATCTTTGTTGACTTTAAAATGAGGATTAATTTTACCTTTATATTTGAAATTGAAAGAAAATAATACTGTTACTTTTTTCCCCTCTCCAAAGGCAATTCTTCAGTTAGACAGTCCTGAGTCAGCTCAGTCAGTGTACCACTTCCTGAAAGAAAACCCACAAAACATAGGAGACTATGTGCTGACCTGCACCTTATCTCCAAAGATAGACATACTAGAGGTAAGAGGTGTTTTGGGTTTGGGTTTGTGTGATTTGTTTTTTTGGGTGGTTTTTGTTGTTGTTGTTTTGGGAGGGTTTTTGTGTCAACTTTTGCGCTTTCAGAAGATGAAAATGTAAATAAAGTTAATTCTCCCAAAAAAAGAGGATGTACTTTGAAGTTAGTAACAAGAACTGTTTTCTTGACAGTGTGCTCAAGCTAGCTTTGATTATGATATTCCTTCTTTTTAAAATATTTTTGCACTTTATTAAATTTTTCATGATTTCTGGAGCTGTAATTGTTTTGCTGTTATTAGATTGGCTCTTGAGTCATGGTGATCCTGTGGACAACAGATTACAACACTTGCAGGTTCTGCATCAGCCTGAGGGCTGGCTACATATTAGGTTGTAGTGATCCAGAGTTTTTGTTGGCCAGTTTTCAGAAGTACATCTCCAGGCCTAGTCTGGCTTAGTCTGGAAGCTCTGTTGAAACTTTTGCTGTATTTTAACAGAACACTTGTACATGAAAGGTGCCTGCACCTAAGGTCCATTGATTTACCAACAAAGCTGGATTTCTTGCATAGAAGCCAAGAATTCTACCACTAAACCGTCATAGCTTCCTAGAGCAGGATAAATTTGTCTAAAGTCAAATGGGATAATTTTGAAAACATAGCACGCAGAAGCTACTTTGAATCTCTTATGTTGGTATATTATAAACTGGTTTGTATAAGAAATTTCGTTGGTTCTTAGTTAACATATGTAAGGTTATTCCATCTTGGGACAAATAACATTCAAATTCTTATTTTCTTTAATAAGTATTGTATTTCAATGATAAGGCTTTATATTTTATTATAATACGATCTTTTGTTTGTTAACCTATCTAAAATCTTAAAGTAGCTCAAAACCAGAAAGGATTTCACCATCTAAACCCAAATAAGAGTCATTTCGGGTACAAATTTAAACAACGTTGTTTGTTTTACTTTTACACTTTCAGATTTTTTAGCCTTTTTTCCTCTCTCAGGTTACTAATTATACAACTGCATTAAGCAATGACTATGCAGACGTACAACTACAAATACTGAGATTAAATAATAAGAAAGTTATGTATAATACTGGCTAGAATTGGCATTTTACTTCTTAGGACATTATTCAAAGTTTTGGTTGGTTTTTTTTTTTAACTTTAGGTTTATTTTTCATTTCA